GCGTCGTTGTTGGCGTTTTCAGGTCTGTTTTTTTCATCGTCGAAGCCCCGTCCGCGGGCTTCCAGGCCTGTTTCGAACCAGTGTCACACCAGCGTCAGAACGTTGCTTCGCACGGAAATTAATTTCAGCCCACGCCTCATCTTTGGATCTTACACCGAGAAAGAAACGCTGAACAAGGACCCCTATAAACGCTAATGCAACGAAGCGTTTTTCTTGGTTTAAGCGTGCGGGAGGTCGAAAACGCAAAACAAAAACGCCCAGGGCGCTTCCCCCAGTCGCCAGTTCATCCCCGATTGGGGCATGCCAGCCCGCCCCACCTCCCCCCAGGCACGCGCGATTTCGCTATCGAGAGCCTACCGCCGATCCACCAGCGATGTCTTGCCGATTGCACGTCGATGCTCCCCCCCCCGCCCGAGCCGTCCCCCCCCCCGCCGGCATTCCCCCTCGGGTTCGAAGATGGGGCCCCGAGAGATAGCCCCTTCTCGATGATCCTTGGGACGTGTGTTGTCCCACCGTCTTGGCCTCGCTCGGACGTGCGCATGTTCTCTCGGCAGGGACCACCGAGGAGCATCCTGGATCATCTGGGATCATCTGGCAAAAGAGCACGCACGAAGCCGAACCAATCGCGGGGAATGGACGTCCGAAGGATGGCAAGCAGCTGCGTGTTTGCCCCGCGCGGCCCGTGCCGGCCCTCGTGGCGCCGCCGGCGTCCTATTGAAGGGCTCTGGTGGACGAGCATACCCATCGGTCGTTGAAGGTAGGTATCGTAATGGCCTCCTGCCAGTGCCGCCGATCCGGGGGTCTCCGGATTCGGTGATCTTGGAGTCGTCGGGGACGCTGTTTGGGAGGGAGGGCGCTCTTGGAGTCGTCAGGGACGCTTTTTGTAGCTGACGTGCCCTCTGGGGGGGGTGCCTGGAGCGGTCTGGGGGGGGGTCCGGGGAGGGTTCCGATGGGGAGGGTCCTGGGGGCGGTAGCGGCTGGATCTGAGGGGGGTCCCCGGGACCCCCCGAAACATTTTGGGGACGAGCATACCCATCGGTCGTTGAAAGTAGGTATTTTTGGAGTCCCAGATTCCAATCTACTTCAAGCGCCTTCCTACTTCAATGATCGAGTGGCTTCACCTCCCGTCCTCTTTAGGGGGCCGGCGGACACCCAGTCTATGTTCAACGCCCTCCTTCTTCATGTTTCTACCTACTTCTTCCGACCGATGGGCACCTGGTCGCTATCACACGTTATGGGGATCATCGACCATCATGGAAGTGGCGAGCCCCTCAGCGGCGCCTCTTGCGCCGTCATGGGAAGTGTGTGTGGGGGTTGGATTCTGATACATCGTTCCGCTGTGTTCTGGAGCGCTCTCAGAGCGTTCTGGAGTGCTCTTGAACGGCTGCGGCGTCCGATTGAGAGAGAGAGAGAGAGGCAGCCCATAGAGGTGTCAGGAGCGCCCCTACACCTCCGGCCTTGCGCCGGGCTGTGGAAAACAATGTCGTCGTCAAGCGTCGGTCCAGCGTTTGTGCTGTCCGCCTCGCTTTCTCGCAGCCGGCACCCTATGCCACGGCGCCCAGTTGAGCGCTCTCCCACTCCACTGGCTTTCTGCGCAGACGGAGATCTTGTCGGCCAGGGTCTTTTTCGCCTTCCTGAAGAGCGCGGTCCAATCCTCCACTCCGAACTTGGTGGCAAGCTCCTCGCTGATGTGAGTGGCCCATGTCAGAGACCCGCGATTCATCTGCTTGGCGTCCAAGGCGTACCGTTTTGCGCAGCATCCTGCGCTGTGTCGTGCGAAGCTTCTTCTCTTGGTCCAAGGTCAGAGTTCAAGTTGGCGGCATACAACACGCTTGGAGTGACGCAAGCATGGAACAAACGCATGCGATGCCGGAGAGGTAGACGTCGCTGGCACAGGATATCCTTGAAGCCTGAGAATGCTGCCCATCCAGCAGAAATTCGATGCGTGAGCTCTGTCTCGTGGTAAGTATCCAAATCATACTCCCAACCCAATTATTTCTCTGACTCCCCCTGCTGTAGGACCCGAACCTCATGCCCATTACATTTCACGGTGGACGGTCGCGGAACAGCGTTTGTGACTATCATAGTCTTCCCCATGTGTACCTTCAAGCCGTACTTTTTCGCCTCTGTCTCCAGGTCCACGATCATTCTGGCCACGTCCCTCTTGTTTCTGCACAGCAGGAGAACGTCGTCCGCAAAGCGGAGGTTCGTGAAGGGAAAGTCCGGGGAGTCTGTGACGATGCCGTAGTGCGGCCCCGTACGGCGTTCGTTCAGCGCTCCTGTCGCGCCTTCAGCCTCCAGAAGATTGCCTCCACCACGACCACGAACAAGCAGGAGCTGATAGGGTCATCCTGCTTGACCCCGCGTGAGATCTCAAGCTGCCCGCTCCGTGTTCCGGCCATTACTGTGGCCCCCTGCTTCGCGTAGAGTCTCTTCAGGATGTTGATGTAAGCGTGCGGGACGTCTTGCTCTCGTAGTGCCGCCCATAACGTGTCGTGCTCCACCGTGTCGAATGCTTTCTCGAAGTCCACCATGCCGACCCAGAGCTCCACGTTGTAGTCCCTGCTGCCCTCGAAAAGGAAAGTCGTGCACAGCAGGTGGTCCACCGTGCTGAAGCCCTGCCTGCACGCCGCCTGGTCGACCGACTGTCCACGAGCAATGACCCCGCGAATCCTTCCGCATAGCATCCAGCTGAACAATTTGCACAGTAATGAAAGGATTGCGATTGAGCGGTGGCTTGAAGATAGCGTGGGCTCTCTTGTATAGCACAGTTATTCGAGATGACAACCAATCTTCCGGGATGTCCTGGGATGGGTTCAAGATTGTATTGAAGGTCTCCAACAGAGGTCCCGCAACACGCGGCACTCAACCTTCAACGTCTCAGCGCATATGCCAGAATCGTCCCCGGACTTGCCGTTCTTGGTCTGCCGGATGGCGTCGTCTAGCTCGTCGGCGGTAAAATTTGGCATTCTGTCGTTGCCAACTGGCTTGTACACGCTTTCTCTACTGCTTGCCCCTGTTGTTCGGTAAAGGTTCTCATATAATTTCGCGAAGACCTCCGCGATGGCCTGCTTGTCGTTGTGCGTTGTCCCTTCTTGGCTCCTCATCTCGATAATGTGTCGTTTCTGATCTTTGCCAGCAGTCAAAAAGTGAGTCTCTTGATGCCGCGGAAATCGCGGAGTATCCCGTCGATCTTGCTAAGGCGCTCGACGTTTTGCTTTTCTCTGATAAGCTTCTGTATGGCCTTGCCCAGCTCCACGCGTTTCTTCTTCATCTCGTGGGGTGCCAGACCAGAATAACGCAGATTCCTTCTTTGAAGGATCATCTATTGTATCTGGACGTCCTGTGCGGGAGTCCTGATGAGGATGAGAATTTGCATCTGGAGTCTCTTGCATATCTTTCTGCGCGGCTTCCCGCATGCACTGGTTGAGATGGGCAACTCTTTCAGCTGCGTCGCAAGGTCCTCAGTCGCTGCGGCGCCCGATGCATCCTCCAGAATCGGCGGATCTCACACGCTGCCCAGTCTCAACCGTCGGGTAGACCAGGATCGCACAGCGGTTGAGTCGGGGCAGTGTGAATTTGTGTTGTCGCGCTCCATATTAAGTATCGTCTTATTATTCTTCTTTTTGTTATTGTCATCCTTATTATGAGTGATGTTATTCGTATTATTCGTGTTATGACGATGATGTTGATGCTGATGCTGATTCTGATTATGATGCTGTTGTTGATGCTGATGATGATGCTGATGATGCTGAGGATGATACTTATTCTTCTTCTCAGTATCATTCGTATTATTAGTACTATTGTGATTATTATTGTTAGTATGTTTACGATTATTCTTTACTACTCTTACGATTATCGTTACGATTACGATGGTTAGAATTATTATTAGCATTTTCCGTAGTATTTGTAGCAGTATTATCAATATTCCTCCTCTTTCTCCTCCTCCTCCTCCTCCGCCAAGAACCAGTATCGTTTAATGTATCCCCATCCCCAACGGGCCATAGTCATAGTATCTCAGCCTCACCATTACACCTCCCCAGTTGGGGATAGGCCCCTCGAAGCCCGAAGGGGGCTCAACGGGCCAGCTGGGCCCAGGCCACGCTGGTGGGTGACGAAGCTGCCAGATCTCAGAGACCCCCGATGCGTCCTGGTGCAATTTTTGGTCCCGGTCCGGCCTCGGGGGCGGCCAAGAGAAGCCGGGGGGAGGGGGGGATATATAGCATGGCGGGGGCCACGATGCCTCCCCCGATCTCGTGGCCCCCTTCCTTCTTCTTGCAAGAAGAGCTCCCTGGCCCCCCCCCCTCCATCTCGTCCGCGCAGGTGCCTCGGACCAGGATTCGGGAGCCCCCCTCTCGGACGCCCCCCTCTTGTCATCGAGGATAATACAGAACCCCTATCTCTAATAGCATGGTGAAGGCGTGTCCTCACTGAGGTCCCCGCCTTCGCATGAGGGGTCATCATTCTGGGCGACTCGGTACGAGACGTCTGTAGAAGAGAGCCCCTGCCCCTCATGCTCTTGGCCCTTCGAGCTTAGGCCCCCTCCCCAAAGGCTTAGGGGCCCTTTTTTGGCCAAGCACCTTGGACGCCCCCGACGGGCCTCGTCTCGGCGTGTGGGCGCATGGCCGCCTCCCGGCCGGTGGCCGCCTCCTGGGCTCCCCCGGGGCGTGTCGCCCGGGAAGCTGGCCGCGCAGGCCGGGGAGCCGCTTCGGCCCCGATGGCGATGCCGAGCCGTAGCCCAAACTATGCCATAAATCCAAGCTGTGCCTCCTTCCTCCTCCGCCTCCTCCTCCGCCTCCTCCTCCTCCTTCCTCCTCCTCCTCCGCCTCCTCCTCCCTCCTCCTCCTCCTCCTCCTCCTCCTCCTCCTTTTCCTCCTCCTCCTTTTCCTCCTCCTCCTCCTTCCTCCTACCTCCTCTTTCCTCCTACCTCCTCCTCCCCTCCTCCTCCTCCTCCTCCTCCTCCTCCTCCTTCCTCCTACCTCCTCCTCCTCCTCCTCCTTCTTCTCCTTCTCCTCCTCCTCCTCCTCCTCCTCTCCTCCTCCTCGTCCTCCTCCTCCTCCTCCTCCTCCTCCTCTTCCTGAACTGTGCGCACGCACCGATCTTGCCCAGACCCATTCTGGGCCCAGTATCGGTGCATGTGCCCTCCTGGCCAATGCAGGAGGGCGTATGCACCTATCCTGGGCTCAGGGTGGGCCTGGCCAGGATCGGTGTATGTGCATCGTTTTTTGTCCTCTGGTGACCCAAACTGGGCCTCCCAAGTGGGCGACGTAGACGAACGGGGTCGTCTGCGCCGACATTGGCGCGTGAGCTTCCCCTGCAAGGTCGCGCGTTAGCGCGCTCGTCTCCGATTCAGGGTGCCGCGCCAGCGGCCTGCGTAAGCTACTGTGTAAGGCCGTAATTTCATCTCGCGAACGACCCATTTCTTGTCGTCGCTCAAATGGGGTCGTAGCAAATGGAGTCAGAGGCTCGCGCCGCATCGCCGATGCCTCGCCGATGCGGCTCGATGCGGAGCCCACTTTCCTTCACGCCGGCGTCGCCGATGCATCGCCGACGTTGCCGATGCATCGCCGACGCGATCCCCCGACCTCATCTACTCGGACCCCATCTGGGAGGCTTCTAAACCTGGCACCACCAACCCTGACCACTGCCGAGGTGAGGCAGACTTGTCGAACGGGTGCCGCCACTGGTGGTGAGATTTTTGGGAACGGCATCGAGCGCAAGCCTCGAAGGCCGCCGAAATCTCACCCCCACCCCCTGGTCCCAGCATCCCACCTGCCAGGGATTTCCGCGGGTGCCGCCGTCGGTCGAAGAAGGAGAGACGCCGTAAACAACTTTTTGGCGCTCCGCGCGTATTTCTGGGATCCACGCTGGGGCCCCCTGGCGGCGCCTCCAGCGCCGCCCCTGGCGCGCTCCACGCGCCAGGGAGGAGGGTCCAGAGCAGATTCAAGGAATCCACGCGGAACGCCGACAGTTTATGTTTATGGCGTTTTTTCTTTTTCTACCATCGAGAACTGTGGTCAGAACGCACCTCGAGATATGTCCCCAGAGTATGTAGCGGTATCGGTAACGTATTCTCCCCCCCAACACCCGCGCGCCAGGGAGGGGGGTCTAGCGCAGATCCAAGGAATCCACGCGGAACGCCGACAGTTTATGTTTATGGCGTTTTTTCTTTTTCTATCATCGAGAACTATGGTCAGAACGCACCTCGAGATAGGTCCCCAGAGTACGTAGCAGTATCGGTAACGTATCCCCCCCCCAACACCCGCGCGCCAGGGAGGGGGTCCAGCGCAGATCCAAGGAATCCTCGCAGTTAATGCTTATGACGTGTTTTCTTTTACCCCCCCAAGCGCCCGCGCGCCAGGGAGGGGGGTCCAGCGCAGATCCAAGGAATCCTCGTGGAGCGCCAGCAGTCAAAGCTTATGTCGTCTTGTCTTCCTCGATCGAATTTTCGAGGGCGACGAGGGCCTCCCAGGAGGCCCAAAAGGGCGAGAACGAGGGCAGCGTGGGGAAGTGTATGTATGTATGTATGTATGTATGTATGTATGTATGTATGTATGTATGTATGTATGTATATATATATACACACATGTATATATAAAGTTTTTTTCTTCTCGGGGGATTCCCGCGGGTGCCGCCGGCGGGGGTGGGGGTGGAGGGTTTCTCCGAAGGGCTTAGGCGACTTGTCCTCCTCCTCCTCCTCCTCCTCCTCCCTCCTCCTTCTCCTCCGCCTCCACCTCGTCCATTCCTTCTCCTTATAGATAACTCCTCCCTGTCGCACCCCGAAGCCAGTTTTAGGGCGGGCCGGGCGTTTCGCCTGAGACTTCCTCACCATTTATGCTTCTGAAGCTTAAAAAGTGACAGCCGTGTCACGGATTGAGGGCGGGTGGTTTTCAAAATGTGGTTCCCGCCTTAGCGCCCCGAACTTTCGCTTTAAACATTGCAAGGCTTCACGGATTGAGGGCGGGTGGTTTTCAAAATATCGCTCTCGCCTTAGCACCGCGTACAATCGTTGTAAGAAATTGCAAGAGTTTCACGGATTGAGGGCGGGTCGTTTTCAAAATGTGGTTCCTGTCCTAGCGCCGCGCACATTCGTTTTAAACATTTGCAAGAGTTTCACGGATTGAGGGCGGGTCGTTCACGGATTGAGGGCGGGTCGTTTTCAAAATGTGGTTCTCGCTTTAGCGCCGCGCACATATTCGTTTTTACATTTTGCAAGAGTTTCACCGGTTGAGGGCGGTCCCATTTCAAAATGTGGTTCTCGCCTTAGCGCCGCGCACATTCATTTTCAAAATTTTGCAAGAGTTTCACGGGTTCCCATGATCAACGTACCAGAAATGGTGTTTTGGAAGGGTTCAGGATTATGCGGGCGCAACTGTTATGTTGATTCGCTGTGTTGAAGTTCCAAAAATGGCGTTCTGGCACGATTCTGGATCGTCAAGACGCAGCAATCAGGTTGATACGTGGCGTTGAAATCCCGAGAACAATGTTTTGACACGCTTCAGGATCTTCAAACTGTTGTCTTCCAACGAGGCAGTTCCCTCAATGGAAATGAACCGTTGTGGGGGCCTACAAATGAAGAGGGAGCTTAGAGCGAGGGTTAATTCCAAAATCGTTGATGACTCTTGGGTGTCCACTGGTCCTCCTCCTCCTTCTCCTCCTCCTCTTCCACCTCCTCCTCATCATCTCCTCCTCCCCCTCCCCCTCCTCCCCCTCCTCCACCACCTCTTTCTCCTCCTCCTCCTCCTCCTCCTCCTCCTCCTCCTCCTTCTCCTCCTCCTCCTCCTCCTCCTCCTCCTCCTCCTCCTCCTCCTCCTCCTCCTTCCCCTCCTCCACCACCACCACCTCCTCCTCCTCCTCCTCCTCCTCCTCCTCCTCCTCCTCCTCCGGTCGCCTACGGCCCTGGGGGAAACCGTGCACCCTGCCCTTGTTCTCGCCCTTCTGGGCGGGCCTCCTGGGAGGCCCTCGTCGCCCTCGAACTCTGCCGAAGGAGGAAAGACGCCATGAACGTTCAACAGGCACGAAGAGCCTTAGGGTGCCCTCCCCGAACCAACCTCGATCTTACAGTGGGGGCGCGTACCAAGAAACCAGTTGGATTTTGCCAGGGTGCCCTGGGTTTCTTGGATTTCGATGGGCCCCCAAATTTTGGTGATCGACAATTTTCGATCGACAAATTTGGGTTTTCACTGAACAAATCGCGGATTTCAGGGTTGTGTTTCTTGCGGAGGTCTCTTGTGGCCGAGCCCCCATTGTATACCTCGGTCCGACTGTACTCCCCGGAGCTCTCCGGAAATCCGTGCGGACCGTCGAAAGTGTATGTTAATGTCGTTCTTGCTTCCTCCATTCTGGTCAAAACGCAACCCAGAAGAGGTCGGGGGAGTACAGTCGGACCGGTATCAGATCGAGGTCGGCTCGGGGAGGGCACCCTAACGTTCTGCGTGCTGTCGGATGTTCTTGTGCATCCTGCGGGGGGTCTATCCTTGAATGTTCCGTGCGTTTTGGTCGGCGGTGGGTCTCATGTTCTTGAAGAGCGTTCTTCAGGCCCAGGTTCGACTGCTGCGGTACAGTCGGGCTGCTGAAATAAGGAACGCTAAATAAGGAACGAAGCCCCTCTGCGGCTTCAAAAAAGCCTGGGTGCACGAGAAGGGCTAGAGGAACAACCGCGGAAGGACGTAAGGAACGTCGAGCCCCTTCCGAATCCAAACTGCTCCTTATTTCAGCGTCTTGGCTGTATCGGCAGCTTTGTACCTCGCCAGATCCGATTCGATACCGATGCCCCAGCGATGCGGCGCGGCACGATCTGCGCGCACGGCGCCGGTGTGCATCCCGGCGCGGCTGGTCCGCTTCGGCTTCGACCCTCCGTGCCTTGGGCCTCGCGTCATGGGGGGGGGGCGGACCTTGGGGGCAGCGAGGGCTGCGGAAAAGGGGCCCCTGAAGGGGCCCCTCAGGGCCCAAGAAGGTGCCGTGCGGGGCCGAAAAGGGCTCCCTCCCTTCTTTCCCCTCTTCAATCTCTCGCCTCCCCATGAAGCGACTTCCAAGTGCCGCTGCGGCCGGGTATCCGGCGGCGCACAGCTCGATTCGATGGCCGATTTTGCCAGAGTCGGTGCTGTAGTTGGTCCCGCTCAGGTCGGGCACGGGGTGCACATATGACTGTTCTTTTAACCTCAGGGGGTAACGCTTGCTACCCATACGGTCGGACCGAGGTATACGATCGAGGTCGGTTCGGGGAGGGTACCCTCATGTTCTTCGTGTTTGTTGGATGTTGTTGTGCATCCTGGGGAAGGATGCCTCGAATGTTCTTCAGTTTGGCCATCGGTGGGTCTCATGTTCTTGAAGCATGTTCCTCTGATCGTAGGTCCCGCGACACCCGAAGGTAACAGCATACATCCCCACATAGGGGGGTAAGTTGGCCAGTGGGGCCAACGCCATGCCTGTGAGGATGGGGATCGGTTAAACGATTCTCTCGGTCCCCTCCCGTGACGGTAACGCACCGAAGCCGTTCGCACTTTTGATTCCGTGCAGTTTCCGTAGGGTTTTGGCAAGAGTCTTGCAGCTCGTCGCAGGGGTCTGGGATGCCCTGGAGCTTCCAAGGAATCCGTTGCCCCCCCCCGCACACAAATCGTTACGGCTCGTACTATGGCTACCTACGGACCTTACAGGTTCCGGCCTCGATGCCCGCAAGTCTTCTAGCTTCCTATCAGGGCGTTTTGACAGAGACGTAGCCTCACAGTATCGTTTGCACATTCTCATACACTCGTGGCGGGAGTAAGTTGATACCTTGCGAATCTCCTTCAGACCATCCAGAAACGATGCCCATGAGAATTGCTTTGATGATGATGAGATTGAAGGGGGGTGGGAGCAGGAGGAGGAAAACAAGGAGGAGCATAAGGAGGAAAAGAACCAGGAGGAGACGGAGGAGGAGGAGGAGGAGGAGGAGGGGGAGGAGGAGGAAGAGGAAGAGGAGGAGGAGGAGGTAGAAAGAGGAGGAGGAGGACCAGGAAGAGGAGGAAGAAGTGCAGGAAGAGAAAGAGGACGATGAGGACGATGAGGAGGCGGTCGGGGATCTGTTGCTGCGAGAGCCTCTTGGAGGACTTTTGGGGCTATCTTGAGGGCTTCTTGAGATCCTCTTGGATTGTCTCGTGGCCCTTTTGTTGATGCTGCTTTGAGGGTCTTAGGGCCCTAAGAGGGCCCTCTTGGGGCTCTTTGAGAAGTCTTGGGACCTCGTTGAGGCGATCTCGGGCGCCGTGGCTCAAAGGGAGGACTTCGCCCCTCCCTTCCCTCCGCCC